CCCCCCCAATTGTGAGGGGGGCGGTGGGGTCGTGTACCCGGTCGTGTTAGCAAATTCTAGAATGTTTCATGACAACTTGCTATACAGCTTACATTCAAATTATAAATGAACTACAACAGTGTTTGGTGAATTCCATTTTTACGGTAATTATTTCACTTAATGTCAATCAGGTAATTGTATGTCAATCTTATTTAATCAGGTAACTATACTTTAATTTTGTTATAATCGAATAACTCTGTCCAATTCTACCACTTAGACGGATGAGGATCGATGATGCAGTAGTCAAAAAATGATGATAGTCATTTTATTCAAAAGCTAACAATTAATGATTACATGTGATAACAATCATTTATTATCTATCAATTTCTGTCAACGAAATTGGATAAAATTATCTTAATTGAAATCAAATCAAAGCATGGTTACCTATTTGAAATTAAATCAAAATGAGATCTTATTGATATAAAATTAAAATGTAGTTGAATTGATCAAACAAAACTGAAGTAAAGTTGCCTAATTGATGTTAAGTGGGAGTATAATCACCATAAGTGAAATTGACATTTTTTTCACAAAAAAGGGGTAAAATTAACATTGACATGTTAGAGTGGCCATTTTGTCAATTGATTGAAAGCTTAAATGAATTTGAAGTATTTGGTGGCATAAAAGGTCTGAGCCTTTTCTTCTTTCTTTATGATTTCAAATGCAGGTTTCTTACAGGAAACATGTTGCAAAGAGAACATCTGAAGGCTCATTGTTACACAAACAAATATACGCGAAAATAAATTGCTGAAATATTCTTCGAATATAAACAAAATGAAGTGTAACACAAATACATAGGCTTACGCCTCTTATACAGAATACGTATATCCGTTTGATCTGACGTTGAAATGATGATTGTATGAAGAATTTGGCACCAAATTGCATAAATTTACTCAGTTCCAGCAATCTTCTTCTTCAACCCTTCAATGTTTTTTTGCCGTTTCTTTTCTACTTGGCTGCAAGAACAAAATACGACGAATTAGCATCAGAATTGGCTGCAAGAACAAGATTGAAGTTAATTTCATGTAGCTTTTATTGCCAAACATGTTTGAGCTTTTTCAGAAGTTACTTCTTTGGAAGTTTTAGTTGAAGAACTTGCTCTTTTAAATCAAAGTCATTACTTACTTTCCACATACTTCTACTCTTTTCAGGCCTAGTATAACAAGAACCATATATTTTTTATGTTAAACTCAAATTTGAGATACATGAGTGAGACAAGAAAGAAATCTGCTTTTATTTTGTATTTTATGGAAACCGAATCACCAAACAATGGGAGCACTAATGCTGTAATGCAAGATTAACTCAGCAGTACAAATGTAACATGGAGCCAAAAACAGTTTCTGCAGATGGCATCTTGTGTAGTTTCCTTTCCTTTAAGGTCTGACAGTAATTCATTAGCATCGACTGCAGATGTCTCATCTGATGATGAAGCTTTTGACCTGAAGTAAAGAAGCTTTTGACCCTGTTTAAGAATAAAACAAAGAAACACAGCTATAGAAATATCGTGAAGTATCAAACCTTGTACTCCAAGGCACAAGAATCTCCGACTTGGGAATTATCATTGAACAACAGAATCAACATCCATTGTTGGTCAAATAAATTGTAATAGAGTTAAAAAAATTCAATTTCTCCTACATATTATGATTTGAATTACAAAGAAAACTCTTATAGAAATAGCGAATTATCATGACAAATAACTAAATCCTGAATTTAATCTTCATTTCTCTCCAGTGTCAGTGAATATCATTCGTTTTTGTAATTTTCAAATTCAAGATGAACGTTATGAGCACTATCTTTTTGCATGTAAACTCCCACATTCTCCTTATAATTATCGTAGACTCCAAATGCTAAGTCCATATAAAAACATACCAGCCCTTTCTTCATTACTGAAAGTATTACAAATATAAATGCTGGTTTATTAAGATTACACCAGCAAAGAGGATGCTTCAACGGGTTCTCAACCTCAAAGTTCATCACCGACATTGACAGAGGTAAAAACCACTGAACATACTAAAGAAACAAGAAAGAACAACTACTAATTCATCCATTGAGATATTCCCAAAAAAGTCAAAAAAATAAGTGAAGAGGCTTATGCAGAACACGACATTTTTTTCAGTACCTGTTCAATGTGGCATTTGGACTCCACATTCGAGCAATTCCAATATTTTATTAGTTCCTGCAATATAAATAGGATGCTACACAAACTAAAGACTTCCCAAGAAAATTCTTGCTCTAACCATCCAAAACCCCTTTAACACGTCCATATTAAATATAATAGAAGGGAAGAATTTGAAAAAAAACATCAATCACAAAGAATTATTTGTTCGGGTTGCTAGTTATTGTGGATACTTATATGACAATATAAAGAGACAATGCCGATATTGTTGCAATAGAATACCACCCTAATTGAAATGCATTTGCTAAATAGCCCAGCACTATCGAACAGAAGGATTATACTGGACCTACACTGTGCTCTAAACACGAAAAAAAATTGAACTTTAACTGGCAAGGGCTTGAAGGAAGTGGACAAGGCTGAAGTGGAGAAATGGGGTGGTAGAGATGGCAAAGTAGAGCAGTGAGCAGTGGTTTTGGTGGGTAGACGGTGCCGCTGTCATTTGATGGGTGATGACCTTTTATTAGCCTCTCTTTTTCTATCTATCTCTTTTGATGGGGACAATGTTTTCTATCCCTGCCCCGTTTACCATTCCGGGTGAGGCAACACGGAGTGGGGTGGAGAGTTTTGCTATCAATGGCAAATATAGATTCACTTGTTGTATGAATGGTGTGTCCTAGACTAACACCTCCAGAGAGAAGAGACTTTATTTGAGGTATCAATGACAAGCATATTCAATTAAATGAAAGATTGAGTTGGAAGTT